CATTTGCTTCAGATGTTTAAACGACGAGTAATACCACAGATCTTCGAGCACTTTTGATAATGATTGAGTTCCGTTATCGAAAGTTAATTTTTCGAGATAATCAAATTTTACGAATGCCTTTCAATGATATGGTTCCAATTTCTTTTTTTCATTATAACATATTCTGGCCATCTACTGTAATAATCTTCTAAAGTCATAACGTATTTACTGATGAGAATAGCCCAGATACTGAAGAAATGAGCAAGTAGACTTCACTGTTCAAGGATAAAAATTGTCTTATTTCCTCCTCCATTTCTTTATCTACTACATTTCAGGCCACCAGACTTTTGTTCTTAATCGTGTTTTCTTCTTGCCATACCTTTATCACCAGAATGTATTGTCGTAATGACGACTTTTCAAAGTTTTAAAGAGATCGGAATTCATGTGCTAGAAAAGAAGCTATCATTTCTTTATGAGTAGTTCACATATATCGTGTTTATTTATATCGCTTCATCATTGCTGCTGAAAGTCCTATAAGACCCCTTCTACTCTATCTCCTGAGAGAATCATTAGAGGGTTTCGTTATTGTCTTTTGTTACCTCTACAGTGTCATTGAAGTTCAAAGTTCAAGAACTGTATAATTTACAACAGAATTGATGTAACATATATCTACCGCCTGGAAAGTTATAAAATTTTTTTACCACTGTAGAATTTTTAATTTACAAACTAAAGTTTCATCTTTAACCTCAAAATAATGTCATTTGAATTTTTATCATAATTAATAATATAAAAGTTATTTTTTAAAGTAAAATCTCCTAACAGATGGCGCCACACACAAATTTTAAACTTTCATATTTCTTAAACATAAATATATATTTTTTTTGGGGGGGGGAGAAATTTATAGAACTCGTTACTGGATCTTTTCTCGTAAAATTTTCATATTCAATATTAAATTTATTTTTTAACTCGTTCTTAATTAATTAATATACATTTTTCCTGTTTGTTGTTTTGTTGTTTGTTTTTATATAAATTAATGCTTTTAGCTGTTTGTTGTCATCACTTTCTGTGTTTTTTCAAAGTTTTTTTTTGAATTTTGTTGATTTGTTTAGAAAATATAAAAGAAATAATAACGTAAACATATCGTCGTAAAAGCACGTGTTTCTCTCGTCACGTGACAGTTCACGTCTTTCATGACGACATAATTCTTTTCTGTTACGTTTCTATGACGTATGCAAATGTCTAAAAAAAGAATACTAATTCAAAATATTAAATTTTATAATTATTTTGCAACGTTATTTTAGTACTGTAATTAAATTCAGTTTTTATTGTTATTATTTGTTTGTTATTGTTATTGTTAAAACGATCTCCAGATGGCGTTAAAGTAAAATAAGCATTTACATTATTTTTAACTTTTATTCCTTATTTAAATATTTAATAATTAATTCAATTTAATTCAAAAAAATAAAAAAAAATGCACATTTAAAATTGTTTATAAATTTATAAAAAGTAAATTAGAAGTAACATTTTTTTTTCCTGTTATATTATATTTTTTTAAATAATAAATTTATATAATAACATATTTTAATTATCTCTAATAGAAACGGACTGAGAAAATAATTTAACGAATCTTTAACTCAAAGATACAAAATTTATAACACTAACACTTTTAAATACTTAAATTAGTCTTTAGTTACAATTTTCGTTAAAAGAGGGCATTCGTATCGTCGCATACGTAAAATTTTACGTATTTTAAATAACAATATGATACAATAAACAATGTATACCAAAAATTGTTATTATTATTACGGTAATTAAAATCAAGAATGGTTTATTATTATTGTTTCTAGTAAATCTGTCACTTTTGACTCATCCAAATTAATGGTTGCTTTTCTTCTATCATTCCAATTTTACTGTCTTCGCGGTTTTCCAAAATCCTAGCTTTGCCTCCCAAGTGATAACCAAGACTCAGTTTCTCGGTCTGTGTTCTTGAATCTCGAACACATTTTCTACTCTGTCCTACTCCACTGGGTTTTGCATAATTTGAAGCAAATGCCTGGTAGATTTCCAGGTCATCGATAATCTTCTGATAAGTTACCACAGAGGTACAACAGTCATAAAAAAAAAGTGCAAGAGATAAGTCGAATAGTCGAAAATCTGGTTTCATTGTCGATCTAAAATTATTCGATTTTCATCAATATTAATGACGACTTCCGGGAAATCTGGTTCTTCGAAGAATGCAGCGTTTTTGAAGGGTGCCATCGCGCTCGAATCAGTCTTGAAGGATGGATACTTTATTTCCACACGCCGAACTTCGTTTTTTATTCGAATTAGCCATCTAAAGAGATAAAAACGTGTTAAAACACCGATTAATTTGCTAATTATATCACAATAATACTTACACGATTTATGAAGATAATTTAAAAGCTTTCAGGCATTAGCAATGATAGTTGCTGCTATTTGTAAATGCCTTCTTCCTTGAGGCTTTTCAAACGTTTAGGATTTCCTCAAATTTCACTAATCTCGTCTCTTACCTGATAACTTTGGAGTAATCCCACTGTACTGTGTTGTTTTCTTCTGCCTCTAAGCTTTCCGCATTTGGTTTCGACTTTCATCTATCTAACACCGTTTCCGAGATTGAGGAAGGAAAGACAGCAGGAAGACAACAAAGAAAATTTTATTGGGCCACAATTTTTCAAATTATAGCCCAATAAAAGGCAAGAAGAATAAATTTTCCCAATAAAACAACAGAGTCATACCGGCCGTCTATGTAATGGAGTTACATTGATGGCCTGTATGACTCTGTTGTTATCGGGAAAAGTATGATGTACAGGGGCAAGCCACTACTAATTTGAGGTGGAGAGCATATATTTTAAATTAAATAAATTAAAAATATGATTAAAAGTTGAAGCCCGATATTATAACAATGTCACAATAAATGATTGCTCGTTCCGAATATATTTTTGTGCGAACATTTCTGCACGTAAGGCAATGTTGTGTTATATCTTCCTCAGACGTTTCCGAAAGTTTTTACGTGCAACATCATCTATCATACTGTTTATAGTAAATATCCTTTTTTCAAAAAATAATTGCTTACAAGTGAAGCAATACACGTTTCCAGATTTTAATTTAGCTTCTTATTTTCTCTCTAATGAAATAATTTTATATTTATACTGATGTTCCAAAATATTAAATGCCTGAATAGATACTTGATTTTCAAATATTACTGATATTACACATTCTTGCCTTTTATTTACGTGTAAAACTTCAAAAACATTTAAGCGAAAAGATTTGAGCAAAGACATGAATATTCCGGAGAGATCCTGTTATAATAATCATTTTATTATGGGTAAAAGGTTTCGCCCTGGCACATGGACTGTCAACTAAATCAAATGCAATCCCATCAACGACATAAAAAATGAGGCGACTCTGATGGTATCCGGGATGCGGTGGATTTGGAAAACGGCTATCCCTCTTTCTTTAATTGTTAAATGGTAAATATGTGGTTAAAACGGCAAAGTCAGTACTGTATTAAAGATTCTGTAAGGTTTACTCGGTATCATCATTAATAATGATTTTATTCTAATTGAAGAAAATCGATATAGCGCTTAGTTACAGTACAGTCGACCCCCCTTATAACACTGTTGATAATTCCGTTTTATATGAATTCCATGTTGTACGAATCACTTAGATTTTACTAATACATGAGCCGTTCACAGCCCGGCACCCGTATTTGTAAAATCTAAGTGACTCGTACAACATGGAATTCATATAAAACGGAATTATCAACAGTGTTATGAGGGGGGGGGTCGACTGTAATTTACTTATGGGTATTCAGCTTCTGATCAAATAAATAACTTTCAAATACCTCAACATAAATATAATTTTCAATTTTATTAATTACTAACTACAAAAAACTAAAATCTTTTTCGTCATTTTTCTTGTAATTAACTTTAAATTAATCCACAAACATTTAATTAATTCTTGGAAAGCTCAGCCAGATGAAATTTTCTGCAAATAGAATTGCCATTAAAACATGATTAATACATCAGATAACGGCTAATCAAATGGGCGTTTGGTTCATATTCTATCTTAATTTAACAAATGTTTATTGATTAATAATAATCAATAAAATGTGATCGATTAGCTTAATTGACATTTTCACGAGTTAAAGAATTATCGATTTCCAATCTCGAGATGTGGTAACAGTATATACCTCTAATGAAAACGTTTTAATAGCACGAACTGTACTGCCCTGTACTGTACTTTAAAGGCTACTTACTCTCCTCTTTACATTTAAATCCACAATATAACGAGTAATAGAAAATTCTTTAATTTGGCAGCCTACAAATTATTGCTGTTATTTAATGAGACCATGCCCTCACCTATACAATCATAGAAAAAAAAGGTAAGCATTTATTTAATTTGATATAATTGCATACAGTGCCTTATAGATTATACATGTTAAGCTGTTGAAATTCTGTCAGAGCCTAATCCACAAGTACTTTTTGAAAACTACAATGAACAAAACCAATAATTGGACAGAATCGCTGAAATTACTGTAACATTTTCCTCTTGATTATCATCTTAATTTAAACGTGAAAACTTAAATATCATCATCAAATTTTAAAAATTCTAAATTATGGCAACGAATTTAGAAGAAGAGATATGTTTGAGTTGTTTTCTGAAACCGCATTCGTCTACTGCCATGATATACGGTTGGTCATTTTTTCATCCTTGTTTCTACGAGACTGAGAACACAAACTTTTTCGATACAATTTATACATTTTTAACATCCTTTATCGAATTTTCCTATTGGGAACATTTTATTTTGGTACTTTTAATGACAATTCCTTACGTCTCCGAAAAAGTACCATGCTTCTCTTGGTATTCGATCATCAACTATAACATTTTCATCAGATTTGCCATTGCTATATTCGCATTGATAGTTGCCCTCAATTTCAGTATCGTCAAAAGAATCAAATTAACTCCAATATTGAAGATAAAGGATTCAAATTTTTTCCCTGAACAAGAATTGCGCGATAAGATTCATTCTTATAGGAAGATTGCCGTGTTCATCATCGTATTTATGACCATAGCGATTCAATTACTGAATGTTTTTTTAATGTACCCATCCATAGAAAATCGTAAAAAATTTCAATACGAAGCCCTCTTCTGTAGCATGGAAGTTGGAATTTGGATATGTATTTTCGTAGGTGGATTTATTCACTTTACTTACTTACTTAATTTGATCGTGATTATTGTAATGAAGTTATTCAAAAATGTATCAGATGATTTGTATTTCGTGGAAAAGGATGATGATGATTTAAGATTGAAGTTACACGTGACTATGATACAACATGCCGAATTATGGAACTTTACTACACAGTTCAACGGTGTCTTCAATTATCCACTAACAATTTTATACGGCTGTTTCTTAGTAGAAACAAGTTTACTTTATTACATTACTGCTTTTGTGGAAATGGAGTTTACATGTAAAGTTTTAGCTTGCATACTCAATTGTCTCTTCACGTGTGGATGTTTACTGATGGGATTCTGTTTATCCACATTCACCTCAATTGTAAGTTACATACCGAAGAATTTTAATTCCTAATATTTGGTTTAATACACAAATAAATATATCTTTTCAGATACAGACATCTTTTCAAGACATTGGCAGATTTGTAGATTGCGATCTTTCACTAGAAGAGAAATTGAAGGTGAATCATTTATTTATATTAATTATTATTATTTCATAGAAATTTTGACTGAGGATTTCTATTAATTAACAACAACAGATTTTGAATTTTATGAAGAGATTCGGTAAAGCGTCGTTATGTTTAACCATTAATGGTTATTTCAATGTTACCAAAAAATTTCCAGTTAAGGTAGGTCATTCAATAAAGTTCCTATTATAATAAAACATACAAAAACATATTCGAATAATTGAGTTTTTTAATTGTTAGATGGCCAGTACACCCCATTCTATGTTTTCTGGAATTTTGAGATTAAGCGGAGTCTCCGAAGATAAAAGTTCTTGTCAATAATAGAAATATTATTACAAGAAAATTAACTCAACTTTCAGTTGAGGAAAACTTATTTGTTTCATATTTTATACTGGTGTATCTATAAAAGGTAATACAATTACCAATCACTCTGGAGAAAAATGCCTAAAGTGATAATGAATTGTAAATTGCTAATTGTGAGATTCTAATTGTAATTGAGTTTTAATGATCAATGAATTGTAAGCTCAATGCCAAAATAATTGGGTAAGTATTGGGCACAATTTAAACAAAATTGGGAATTACTTAAAAAAAATTAGCAACTCCATGTTTCTCAAACTGTAATGCCCTGTTGTCTAGGGGTTTAAAATTGAATTTATTAAATGCAGCATTAACAAAATAAATCCCGTACTATCAATATACCAATACTTTATATCCTAAAATCTTTGTTTGAATTTTCTTATTTATAAGTTAAATTTGGTATACCTGTTCTTGTATTTTTTGTTTATAGTGTACTGTTTAAAAAAAATCTACAAAATCAATGATGTGCAAAATAATGTGAATAATGAAAAAAAAGAATCATGGTTGAAATTTTTTGTATTAACTAGTATTTTGTCTAATTTAACCCATCTTCTGGTTATCTAAACTTAAATTTTAATGTTAATACAGTAATACCCCGAACATACGCGATAGGTGGGACCGAGCGATAACCGCGTAAGTCGGGGTATAATTTCTCAATGTGTGTAAAATCCAAGTCAAATGCAAGCAAGCTAATAAATGTTCTCGTTAATCTTATCTCGTCTTTTGATTCGTTCATTGTTACAAGAAATCACCACATATCTACGGAGACTCCAGAGACTAACAAACACAGAAATAAATAACACACAATAAATTGTAGCTATGTGTCAATTCCGCGCGACACGTCCGAACATATAAGTTGAACAATAGTGTGGAGGGAATGAGTAATCGAGTTGTGGCGCTCAAACAAAAGACGAATCGACGAGATTTGAAAATCGCGTAACTCCGGGTTCGCGTAAGTCGAGGTATCACTGTATAAGGTAATTTTTAAAATATAGTAACCGTATATTAATTCATTTGTTTAATTTCATTTAATAGCATTAAACTGTTTTAATTTAAAAGTTCAGTTATCAAGTTGGAAAGAATTAGTTAAATTACAGTATTCTGTAATTATCCAAAAAATTTACACGACTAGTTTTTGCAAGTTGAACCTCAGGAAGATGAGAAATGTTAATATCCGATTTTTTTTTAAATCAGGTTTTCATATAAAAAAACTTATTTTCCAAACAGTCAACTGAAGTCAAATGACTAAACATTTTTTGCATTAATATCATGAACTAATTCAAACTTGATTGTCTATGCAGAAAAAAGTAATTAAACTGATTTTTGAAATGTTTACCCACTTTGTCAAACTTTGAATAAATCAAAAAGAGTTTAATGAAAATTCCTGCATAAAATCTCCATGCTAAGATGCACAAAGTTCACGACAGGAACCACAGATATAGCCACACAGGTCCCACCCTTATGCAAGTTAGAGAACGCAGACCAATTCTAAGTTGGTCTCCAAGGCTTTCTAAATTTATTTTAACCGAGGAGGAAAAATAAAAAACACATGAAATTTTTCAAGGAAACTTTATTAAAAATATTATACAACCTATGAGTAAAAACAAAAATATTAACATCTTTTTTGTTATATATATTATAAATTTAATCTAACTTGCTAATTCCAAAAATATTTGTGGAAAAAAGTCACAGAATATCAAATTAACAATTTAGTAAAAAAAAAGAAAAAAATTATATTACATTGTAATTACAGAAAAAAATTAAAAACTGCCAATAAATAGATATCCGGATATGTAAATAGAGATTTGGTAATTAGGTACTCAAAAAGTAAAATATATTAAGCCATAAAGCTTTAGTAGTCAGTAGGAGTTTGTTCATCCAAGAAAACTTAACTGACTGCTTGCTTTATTAACAAACTATTTCCAAGAAAACAAAAGTTCTATATAGACAGCCCAGCAAGTTAAACCCATAGACAATGCTTAAAAATGATTTCTGTTGCACTAATTTGAATTAAAAATGTTTCTCAATAAAAAGCTGTTTAAACAACAGCTAATTTAATTATGCTTTTTATTTTTTCTCTTTATTTCGAACTACTCTGTATTTGTTTAAAAATACATAAGGCTAAAAAGTTGAGTAATTGTTTTGGAAGTCTGACTGCTAAAGGTTGAGGATTTTTTTTTACCAAATTGCATATTATGATTAATCGCTAGGTTTGTAATGTTTAGTTTAATACGAAAGAACCTTCCGTTGGGAGCCTAAGACTAAGTGGCGTAAATAAAATTTGCTCTACGCTCAATGAAAAACAGCTTCGAAGCTCAACTATTTCACAAAGTTTCGAACGTCTTACGATTTCTAAAAGAAGGCCACCGAAAGTAAACTCTTTGCTGAAGCTACCCGTAAAGTAATGCACCACCATTTCCTTGCAATTAAGTACAGGATCAAATGTATTATGGGAAACTAGAATAAATATGTATTATTAAAGTGCATAATTAGGAAAATTTGCTATTTTGGATTCTCCGAATTGAAAATACTACGGACAAACTTGGCTGATTAAACAATGAAGCATCTCCCAACCACTTCGATAAAATGCTTTTTAAATATTAAATATATTTAGGATTTACTTTGATATTTTAGTTATTTGTATCTTAAAAATAGTATGTTAAAAAGTTTAAATATTTGAAGTCTTTTATAACTTAAATATTGCAAAAATATATATATTACTGTTTTTCCATTTTTTTTTTGTGTGTAAATTTAATAAATTACACAACTGAAAAACACATTACTGGAAAAGGCCGTCAAATGACAATTGTCCAGATAATTCATTCAATCTGTAACAAATCACAGCCATTTAATTACAATTAATCTTGCATATATATGTAGTAGTATGTTTTATTTGAAGTGTCACCAAGGATAAAGCTAAGAATTGACTCACTTTGGCAAAATGGAGCATTTAAAAATATCTCGCAAGTCTAGTTGTCAATTGAATATTAAACATTTTACAAAAACGAGTATATAAAAACGACTTGAATACACATTTAAATATCTATAATGGAAACCTGATTAAAACTGTTTGGGGATTTAAATGATTTCGTCCAAGTATCTATATATATATATTATTTAATTAGAATAAAATTGAAGATGGTAGCTTGCCGTGCCTCTCCATAATTCATAATACTCTAAATTCTTTTTTCTGTGGAGCTTACACTATTTTAAACATTCAACACAACCCATCATCTCAAATTATGCTTTATTTAAACTATTCCCTTACAAAACAGCAAAATTAACATGCCCCTTGTTTTTAGAGCATTGACACAAATCAATTTCTTTTTTTTTTTTTTGGAATGCCAAGTACCCGTATTGGACAATATTATAGCTGCTTGCAAAGAAAAAAAAAATAAAATTAGTATAGTTAGGTCAAATTTATAATGGGAAATCTGACATATAAACAATTATAGAGCAATTTTACAATCATTTCTTTTTCATCAAATTGATATGAGGATTAAAAAGTGATATTCTGCATAGTTCTAAAAAAAAATTTTTTTTTTATAATTGCACTATGATAAAGTCTATGCAGAACTGACATCAATATATACCAAAAAAGGCCACTGTCACAATTACTGGGCCGTAAGCTATTGCTCTGAATTAAAAATTGACACACCACAGTTTTTTGGTTTGAAGGCCACTCATTTTCAAATAAGATTGGCAGCTCCAGCTCTATCAAAAAACAGTAATATTACATCTGAATGCATTTAAGATTAAGCTTGTTTTTAAGACCACGTATTAAATTGTTTTTTTTTTCTTAAATATAAGATTAGAGTCTGGGTAATACTTGCATGCAGGCTAAAATCCTGTGAACCCTTGACTAGCTGGATCCATGTTAAAACGATCACAGATTATATTAAAGTTGGGAAAAACAGCAATAGGTTATAAACCAGACGAACTGTATAGATAAATCTTACACAGAATATTTGGGAATTGTTTTTTTGGGGTATAATAAGGTTGTAAAGATTTCTGCGGTCACTACAACAAATTAAGAACAATTAAGAATAGAAGGTAAAGCTTCTAAAGAGAAGTGACAAGGTTTAAAGTGGGATTAAGAATTTTTTTAAGAAGTGAATTGTTGGAATAAGAACATTATGAACATGGGAAAAACAATGACAACTTTAAAGGGACTAAGTAATGGTTAGAGTTAAAAACAAAAAATTAAAAAACAATGTTAGGAAATGTTGCATTAAACATTGCTTCAGTCTAAGACATCCAGTTAGAGAACAAATAGGGGAGAAAGCAATCTTACGTCTCTGGAGGAAACAAATTTGTTATGACCTTGCAGTCTAGACAAAGATCAATCAATGCAACAAAATAAAAACCAATTACACTGATCAATTACATAAATAAAGTACAGCTTGACTTGTCAAATAAAGTATTAAACAATATGGCAACTAAAAATATCTATTCCAAAAATGGATTAAGATTTAGCCGAGCAGAGAATTAACTATTTGACTTGTTGCGCATGAGAGGCTTGTGATTACGCATGCTTTCGATAGAATGTTGCCACTGCCAACAGTTTCGACAGAAGTATTTAAAACAAGAACCATCACGACAAAATATGGGACCTTGCTGAATCTGGCAGGTCGAACAGATGGCATCTTCCAAGTACGGATCAACTTGTACCTAAATTTAAAAAAAATTTATGGTTAGATGTCATTAAGTTAGAGAAAACTTAAACTAAGAAGAAAATTTAAGTTCAGTATCAGAAGTTGATTAACGTGGCTTTTCTGGGGGAGTTTGACTGTTTTTTAAATTTCAAACTTAAAATCCAAGAGACATTTTAAATTAACATAAAATAAGCAAAAGAATTACCTTCTTTGTAAATCTAGGTGTTTTTATTTCAATAAAAGCAGCAGAAACAGCTTTCATAAAACTTTTGTTGTTGTTAAAAGTCACTCTTCCAGAACCTGAAAGTTAAAAACAATTATTTGCAGTGACTCTGACAAGTTGGGTTAACTTTTTGAACGAAGTTAACCCATGTTTATCTAGTTGAACCAGGTCCAATCCAGATTACTGAAAGCCATAAAATTCATTAACAAAATATATACAACTTGTTTATAATGAAAAAAGAAATTAGAAATAAATGCTAAAAATAACATTGAGTTATTTCACGAAAGATTGACAGCAACAAACTCAGCAAAACATTAGGAACTGTGGTGAGAACACTATTTTTTCATTCAATAGGAAGTAATATTTTCAATTATAAAACAATTGCTAAGATTCGACAAGTAATCTTTCTAAACTCAAAAGAACATTGTGTGCATTCTCTGGGAGCATTATTGAACATATACCAATTCATAGAAAAGTCTATTCTAAGACATTGCAATATTACACTCAGGCAAGAATGCATACTTAGACATATGGGAAAACCAAATGCAAAAAATAAAACTACCAAACTTAATCACTCTGAACAGAATCCAGGTAAATGAGGTTCAACTATACTCTAAAAAGGAGTCTGGAAATGGAAAGCAATCCCCTAAGTCAAAAAGTTAATAGTCTTAATTTAAACTTTTCTAAGAACTTAGCACCAATTATTCATTTCAAAACTTCAAGGAATGATTGTTTATACAATTCAGTTGAAATAGGTTCATTTCCTTCTCTAAGTCATTGTTCATTTTTGGAAAATTTCATACAATAATTACTATTAAAAAAAGCAAAAAGTTACATGGCTTTGAGACCTTAATATTTAAAAGTTAAAAATATCCCTGCTATGGTTGTAGGTTCCAATTAACAAACATTAAAATTATTTGCAACAACAAAGCTGGAAAACCATCCAAAATCTGTCATTAAATTCATTTCTAGAAATTAAGGGCTTTAGTGGAAACAATAGTGGAATTTACTGAAACTGTCACCATGTTTAAAAAGGCAGCAAATTTAAGAGGTTTGGTGATTTTACTTACTTTTTAATGAATTAAGAGTTAAAAATGGTATTAGAATAGTAATTCCAATTTAACATGTCTAAATAAGATTCTAAGAGCTATAAAAAAAGTATTAAAAAAATTCCACACTGTCAATTTCCATTATTACTATTTTAAGTAAAGACTAAAGTCAATGGAAAGAGGTTCAATTTTATTAGTTTTTGCATACAAAAAGATGCTTAGACGCATGACTAAGCCCACACTGCCATACCAATAAGTACATAGTACTAATTGCATAATAGAAAAATTAACTTCAAAATTCAATATAATAATAATAATAATAATAATAATTTAGAACAGTATTATCTAAACTTTCATTAAGTTTAGAAATAAGTGCCTCTTCAAGATTAAAGGAAAGTGAAAAGGCAATTTTTGCAGAAGAAGTCACAACTCCAGGAAAGTCAAACCGTGTTAGTTCAAGAACATTGACATGCTGAATTTATAGTAAATAAAATGAACTGCTGCATTTTATCTAATGTCTCTCTTGTAAAACTTTTTAAGTTCAGCATTCTACTGAAAACAAAGATTTATAGTAGTCATTAAATACAAGTTCCAGTTACAATAAAATTTCAAAAACTATTATCCTGTTATGAAACAAGTACCATCGATTTTGATTAAATTTCTCTAGGAGAAAATTAAGGATGTTTTCCACTATTAATAATAATTCTAAGTCACTCCTTGCAAACTTGGCTGTTTTACTACACACTAGCATCCCCGTCATGGCCTGCCCACTCTTATATACATATAGAAACTAATTGTTCATTAATTATTTTTGAGTGATCAATGTGTAGTATTGCAGTAGAGTTTTGCAAAATATAAAAAAATAAAATCATAAAACTTCTGAATAAGTTATATTGATGTGAAACCTAAAAAATTCCTCGCTACTCGCATTCGATTCTGAGCCAAACGAATTCGTTGCCCTTCCAGTCTTTGCTATAGAAGAAGTGTAGATTCACATCGTCTACAATTATGAACCGTTTCTTCCTATTCGTGCTCTTGCAGCTTTCGGCATTATTTATCAATCAATCTCAAAAATATTCACCAATAACTATTTCGAATATTTTTTACAATTACCTGCAGAAACAATTCTAAAACCCACCATAAGTACTGTACACATATGGCCATCTAGAGTGATGACGTCACTTTTTTAATTCCTCAAAGATTTTGCTAACTAACTAATTATAATATCAGTTCTTCAAATATAATAGTAAACTTCAATAATAGACTTCTCTTATAGACAGCGTATGTTGCCATCTAGTGAAGAGAGAAATAGACAAAAATCTGTTGCAGTTTTCTTTAATTAATAAAAAATCTGTAGGTTTGATTAATGGTAAACATTCCAGGGATCATAAAGATGCTACAGTTAAAGTTTGGTAACGATTGGTTCAGTAGTTTTCACGGTTAGTGGTCACAAACGAAAAATATGTTCTCTATAGTAGTATAGGGTATAGATAAGCATTTCTTGGTGGAATGAATAGATGAAGTTTCATGATAATAGTAACAATGTTTAACTTTCATTTTTTCTATAAGCTTAGGTTTAGATAGCAAAAATAATCTGAACTATGGAAAAGGCTACTGAAATAGCTTAAAAAGAAATGTGTTACAATTAATTAGATGTTAGTAAAAATTAAATTATGTCGTATCTAGGATTGAAACCAAATTTGAATTCAAAAATCATGAATGATTATGCTATTAGACCAAATTTTATATTAAAAAAATTAAGAAATGAAAGGGAAAGAGGTACTTTTAGTCAAAAATCATTTAAGATTAAACTAAAATTTTACTGGAGTTTAAATAGCAAATAAATATGGACTTAGTTGTAATATAAAGGAGTACTGATTTTTAAAGTAAAAATTTACTATATTTTAAATTGATATTCTTTTAAGCTTAAAATAACTTAAGTATTATAAAAAGTTACCTTATAAAGATTAGAAGCAATGAAAATAGGAATTCACATCAATATTTTAAACTAACCTATAGGATATTTATATTTATCCGTGTCTATTCCAGCATAGATGACTCCACCAAATAAGTCATTCATTATATGGGCAAGTCCTTCAGCATTTAGCATTCCATGCAAAGCACCAACAAATACTGTTTTACTGGGATCAAGACGTTGAGAAGGGCATTTAACATAATTACTATCACCAATTACCCAAGGAATAACTTGAACCTAAAATTTAAAAACCATTATTTTTCTTTTAAGTTTAAAAAATATTGTTTTAAATTAAAAGAAATTTACCTCTTTAGACCTCATCCTTCGAGACGAAATCTTAAAATACCAGTTACCACCACCATTGTTGTAGTCATGCGTGCATGCCTGTAGTAAAGATTTAACATGTTTCTCCGAATCAAATATTACATAAACATATCCAGCTGAAAATATTTAAAAATTGAATATAAAGTTAAAAGACAGTTTTTTTTGGCAATAATTTAAACCAAAAAGTCAAAACCAAACCTTTTGGTGGATAAGAATTATTTCTATTTTCTTTTCCGGGCCATTGTATCTTGATAGGACCAAAGGAGGAAAACGCTTCCACTAATCCCGCTGACAAAAAGTTTGTTTTTAAATATTAATTTACTAACTAAATAAATAGTTATTCTAATATTTTTATACCTAGTTTCATGTATTAAGTAGACTTCAAAATCAGCTGTTCTTAATACAAAACTACAGTTTAAAACTACAGTAGAATTAAAATCTTGTGCATTTTCTATTCAACACACACTTCCAAAGCATTTATGAAGTTTTGAAAAATTATGTAGCTAAATATGCAATTTAAAATTTTATAGTATGCAAACTTCAGAAAAAAAAAAGTTTCCCAAGAAAATTAAGTTAAATGAAAGGTCATTCTAAAAAAATTCTCTAGAAGCTTTTTTTACTTGAGTAAAACAGAAGTGTTAGAAAATAAGAATAAGTCTTTTTGAACTATAATGACTAAATTTATTGGAAAAGTGAAAAATTAAGAAAAAATATATTAAAATTCTAAAGTTTAACTCAAAATAACTAACTAGTAGTTATAAGTCTGTTGTAATATTTCAGTTTTAAGTACTTAATACTAACTCCATTTAACTTTTTCATATTGAAGCAGGATAAATTAAATTTCCATGTTAGTTAATGTAATATTTTTCTATTACAATAGACTTGAATCTTAAGCTTCAATATTTCTAAGAAAATCTTCATGCATTGAGCTAATCTAGGTATTATACTTAAACTTTATTGAGTTTAATACTTCAAATCATTCTAATCCATTTGTCAAAAGCATGCTTAAAGTTTCTATGATACTTCTAGTAGCAAAAGTCAATATAGATAAACAATAGAAAATAATCATCCTAGTAAAAACTAAAAAAGCTTAAGATTCAGTTTAAAAGCATGATGCATGAAAATCTAAATTAAAATGTAAACTCAAAAATTAATTACATTATCCAAGGATTTAAACTGGCCAGAAACTGGGCATAAATTACTGGCAGAGTCATATTTATTCTTTAGATCAGGAGAAACCAGGACAACTGACTGGTGATTCAGGAAAAAAAAAATGTTCTGTAAGCACTAAAAAACCTCTTCTGAACTCCCAGACCAAGAGGGGCAGGGTTATGAGGAATAGACCTTTACATATCCAAAGAACTTTTCTGCCTGTAAAAAAAATTGAGTTGGTTGCCAAATTTGATCTCAGGTCAACAAATGAACCTGGGATCAAAATTCAGGTTGATGCTTAACCACCTCATTTGACTAACAGTATACAGAATGTCAGATGATTTCAGCCAGATAATTTCATTACTATTCTCACAAATGCAGAACTATTAAAAAACAATGGTTTTGCATTTGAGAAGTAATAATAATCATCAACACAAGACATTCAAAATATTTTATACTATAGCTGATAAATCCTAATATTTTTCACTTAACATTGGTTTTGCTTAATAAAAGTAAAACAGGCCCTTCTTAACACTATTGTGCAGCAAGATTTTTGATAACTAGCAGTTATATTTCAAGAATACAGCATGTAACAAGCTTATATAATTCTTTAACCTTGAAGTACAGAATATGGTGCAAATTTGCATTAATCCAACACATTAGAAAAAAAATGAGTTAACAAGCCAGTGGTACAAATTTAACAAATTAAAGCAATAGAATAGAAAGATTGTATATGGACTAAAAATTCTCAATTTAAAAAATATTAAATATTCACAAAGTGCACACAAATTTCACTACTAAATTGACATCTTAAAAATTGTTAAAAAAGGAAATAAGATAAAATCCTTAAGAAAAAAAAAAAAACAGTAAATGGTACAAATTGCAGAAAGAATAACTGCAAGACACTGCTACAATTAGCCACTTATAAACCACTTAACACTTTAGTTTATTCATCCAAAACCTCCCCCTTTTTTGTCCTTTGAATAAGACACTCAAGTTCAAGAATTCCTTGAAAGAAAAAAAATTATTTAAATGGATTTCTGATTGGAATTTCGCCAATCTACTTCAGTAAAAAGGTGTAATCTGCAACAGAGCCTATACCAATATTTCTGACTTAAAAATCACAGCAATTCTTGTCTGATTTATAATCAGTCCCTTTTTATTCACTTAAAAAGGTCTTTGATTTATTTGTAAAAAAAGTTCAGCTCTGAGCATTGGATTCAAAGGACAAATATTGCTAATTTTAGCTTCGTATTACAAATTGCTGCTTTACATTTCTAAACCCCTCCCATCACCAAGAAATTTGATAAAAATTCATCATGCTAGGTGTTTAAGATTACATACATGTAAAAATTTAGTTTAGTTATGTAATTCCAATTTAACTGGCTTTTGTTATCAGATAAGTCAGCTATATTGCTTATTTGGCACTTTAAGAGTACTATGAATTTATGAAATTTCAGCTACAATGATCAGTCAATAGATTAAAATTAGCTTACCTTCTGTGATGTCCCAAGGCACTCCTCCTAAAAATACTTTACATGAGTATGTTGGCGATTTATGAATTCTTGGAGGAAGCTGACCACTCCAAGTACAGTTTGCTTCACAAAATGCTATAAAAAGAAAAGTTATTTTCAAAACAAACTTTGATCTCAAATAAGAAAGAAAAATCAAAATCAAGAAACTGATTAGATTTTGTAAGAATGTAATGACATGACAAAGCAATAAAAAAAAAAAAAGTTTAGTTAAATGTGTCTCCAGAAAATGTATAAATGACAAATTTTATCACCATACAAGTGTTAAAAAATTTTATCTGACACTAACTGCAAAGTTCAACTTTCTTTCTATCTTTAATTTTTATTTCACTTGGTTAAATTAGGATTCTGTTTGCAAGGTTCCATACTATTCAAGGTGAACTTGAGTACACATCATACTGTGAGTAAAATGTAACAAGGAAAGTTTAGAACAATAGGAATGATTTGATCTAGACATGTATATTGGTTCGTTACATTTTAACATTTATTCTTCACACTATTTTACGATTAGCCCTACAATAGTGAATTTAGTGTAAAAATTTTTACATTAGGTATAAAAAAACTATGATGTTTTTTAATCCACATGGATGCAACTGTTTGATCTGAGAATTGGTCCAGACTGAAAATGACCTGGATTCTATTGTATATGTATGACAAGTCAAATTTTATTCTTCCTGAATAAAATTTGTCAAATAAGTTTGTGGATAAAAATTGCTTCCATATAAATGGAAAATTAACAAAATTTCATAAAAAGAACTAAAGGCTAGCTTTAGTAAACAAACGTTCATACCTGCTGCATTTCGGTAAAGTCTTGCAGCCCTTTCAACTGCATCAAGATCTCCATAATTGTTATTCAGGAATGAGTTAACAGACCATCGCCTATCAGAGAAGAGAGGCGGAGTGAACAATTGTAAGTCGACATCTGGACGAGAACCTGTAGTTGGAAGATTTAGTGTTGAAGTTAACGTACTGTTGCTGTTACCTAGGTTGAGGTTATTCTGCAAAGAAAATTCAGAAAAATTAATAATTTTATTGCACATGAACCATTAGGTTTCACAAAATTAACTGAAAAATAAAAAAAAGAGTTCAGTGAATTATTTCACATTAGGAGCAGAATATAGTTTTCTACACAAAGTTGTGAAAAGGAGTAGGTTTTTTGCACATTGAAAACTATGAAAATTGCATTTAAAGATGTACTAAAAACAAAAAAAATACAACACACCTTTGAAAGATCATTTCGGCAAATTAGTGAACAGCTATTAAAAAGTTGTGCTAGACATTACTGAAACTCCTATGCAAAATTGATAAATTATTAAGACTTCAATAAACATAAGATACAAAAATGGCATTTAAACCTGCAGCTGAGGTCAAATTGCAAAATATGTACTTTTGGAAACTGCTTAGGTATATTCTTAATATTAATTGAATTTAATTGGCAAGTTTTTCTATTTAAAATCTTTTGCTTAAGAAATAGAACATTATCCTTTTGATAAAAAAAAGTTTGTTATTAATTGTCAACTAAGCATTTTAAATATCAGATAAGTTAAATGGAGAAAATTCAGACATTGCTTTAATTACAGGAAAAAAATGGTGTCTATACTTATTAAAATGTAAGTGCAATTACTAGAAACTTTATATCCAACATTTTAACTTGTCAATCTGAAGAGCTAGTTACTGCTTTCGCACAACTTAAGTTTGCCTTTTATATAAATTTAGCTACCAAACTTTAAGGCTATTCAGAAATTAACCAGTTAGGCTGGCATAGCCACATTACATATTGCAGAAACCTGACATATGCACAAATAAAAATACACAATGTCTCATGGCTGCCTATGCAGTTGGCCATTTTGTTAACAGTTGTATAGCAAGTGTGGAAACATGTCGACGTGGGGCATAATCTGCTTTTTGCAAGCTGAAGGACAGTGCAGTCCAAGATTCACTGAAGGGAGAGTTGTGTATAGTGTAAACTTCATGAGTGAGGGTTGTGTCAGAATGATGTCTGAAACTTCAGGAAGGACAGATTGTCTTCCTCCAGTTTCATAATGCACAACTGCTTAACTTGAATGAGTAGACAGTGACGACTCAGTTCAGTCTTGTCAAGTTTTCCGAAATTTCAGAAAATTGGCAAGGTGACCTCAACTCAGTTACAAGTTTTGTGCAAGGTGGGTGGATAAAACCTCAAAATACACTGAATAAGATATGAGTAGCATTGCAAAAAACTGATTATGAGGAGGACAACACTTTCTGCACAAAAATCAGATGACAAAACAAGGATTTGGTTTGTGAACACAAGACAAAAAGGAACAATTTAAGTACATGGATGAACATGAACTTTCTGAACCAACCCAAAAATTCAAGAAAATTGTTATCTAGCAAAAGAGATAGTCAGTTTGGGACTAAGTGTTGCTGCCAGATTTTATGGAGCCCAAGACTTGCATCTTAGGGATACTGTGAAACAAAAAACTAGAGCAATTCAGACCAAGAGGTGGAGTGCATTGTCCTCAGGCATGATTCGTGTCCATTACAAATGATGACCAAAAAGGCATTTCAATTTTTTTGATGAGTTATTTGATCATCCCACCTACAGCCCAACCTAGTACCAAGTGACTTTCATTCCCAAAAATGAAAAAAGGTGATAAGGGACCAGCAATTCGTGTCCAATGAGGTAAAGAATTTATTGACAGCTGAATTCCCAGCCAGCAATTTTTTTTGATTAGAGCATGAAGAAAATGCTAGGTCCTATCAGCATTTGTAAAAACATTTTTGATAAGTCAATGAAATTAAGATTAGGAACACGTTTTGTAGGTAGGCAATTTAGTGAAAACTTGAAGTAAAATGACATTATTTTGCAACCTACAATTTAAGAAAACTTAGTTCTTAAAATCAATATTTTAAAGCTAGTTTAAGTAAATATTAAATTTTTCAAAATTAGTGATGGACTGCAATTTCAATGCAAAATTTCAACAAAGTCCTATAAATTAAAAAATTGAAGAGAACAATCAAGCAATTTTTAAATGTTAATTGTAGAAATTATTTATATTTTGCCTTACTAACATTATTACATGTGAAAATTCTTATCAAAATTCATTACCATTAAGTCAGATAAAGCACTAATATCTGAAACACTGCTGATTCCACTTGTATCAGAATCAGTAGGAGAAGTACTACGACTTGTTCGGTAATCATCACATCCCATTAAAATGGCCTGCTCAATAGTGGGACTTCTTTGTTCGCTGTAAAAAGTAAAAAAATATATAGATTAGAATTGAACAAGCTGTCAAAAAAAAGCATTAAACTACAGAACAGAAAATTTTAAAATTAAAAATGAAAATAGAATTCAAAAATAAAGTGACTAAGATGTATGCATTTACTCAGATTTGGAATAAACTGGTGACTAAATATTCAAGTACTTTTGAACAAACTTTAATCACCTTCAAAGTACTCTGATGCAATGTACTTGACTTCAGACTGTTGTTTTAAACAATGGAATAAATTCAATTTTTATGCCTTTTAAAACAGCAAACACCCAGCATGGTACAAGCAAAAGCATGTCAGTGGAAAGTCCACTCATTCATTTGCCATAACTCTGGACACTTCAGAAGGTTGCAACAAGATTTGCAGAAAACTTCAAGACTGGTTTCTAGTTTGACTGGAACAAGTTACAAATGCACAATCCCCTCTCAAAAAGGAAACAGACAAGAAAAAGCAGGTGTCCAAAATCTTCATTGTTTGAAAACAGCCTCAATGCCATTTGTTAAACATATGCAGATGGATTTATTAAAAAACACTAGTTTGGAAAGACTTATTCTGGATGGCAGACTTAGTACAGTCAGATTTTTTGGGTCTTGTCCGTAAGACTTATTCTGCTTAATTATGATACTAAAGATCAGTAAAAATGAGTCATTTGTCAGGTAATGATCAGATTTTTTGGAATAGACTTTATATTATATCCATAGCCATAATTTAGATGCAAACAAAAACTTGATAATCTTGGTTCAATTTTGTTACATATTTTCTAGAATAATTTGGATTACTGGAGTCAAATTTAGAGATTTTTAATGCCTCCAATCTAAGTTTAGCTCAGTTAAACTGGGGACTGACAGTGGCATAGATTTCATTAAAAAAAGTGAAACCATTAGTTGCTTAAGTATTTAAAATTCAACAGTTACTATGTTTTGACTATGATATAAACTGGGCACTGACAATCTGGCTTCCATCTTCTATAGACCAATATTAAAACACTATCCTTAAGTAGTTACATCAAATTTACAGTCATTCAGTGAAAATAAAGTGAAAGATTAAAATATTGTTTTCAAAATTTGTAAGGTTTTACCATCATCATCTACAATTTAAAAAATCCTTTTGATTATTAATTTATTGAAGTTACATAAGCTTCAAATTAATCATAGTGAAAAAAAATCCAAAATTCAGTGATTGGACCTAAACTGATTTTTTAATATAGAAAAGTTTATAAATAGATAATAAAAACTTATTTATAAACAGCAGAAAAAAAACTTGAAAATTCTATAAAAACCTGAAAGATATCTCTTGGACTTCTAAATTCACAGTAAAGACAAAATGAAAAACAAACATTTAATATAGAATCTTTTCTGCAAATCAATGAAACCAAATCTAAAAGGTACAAGCCCACCAGTGGCCAAGCAGTCTTCATACCCTGAACACTGGGATTTTAGTTGTGGGTTTGCATCTCATTTCTTTGGGCTGGCCACGTGGAGTGGAGTTCTCTCCACGTCTGTAACGCCTAAACAGGGACCAGTTTCCCTTAAAAACCTCCCAGAAGGCATCCCCAGGCAGATCGACCAAACGTTGCATAGCCATAACTTAAACTAAAAAAGTACCATTTTGAATAATTTAGCAAACTGACAAGTGAAAAGTGAAGTCAGAAAAAAAACCACTTCGTAAATATTTGCTTTTTCTTAACCATTATAGCTGGAGATTCAAAACTAAACTAATCTTAAAGCCAGATGATGGCAGTTTCCTCTGAGCAGAAGTCTAAATCCAAAAGTTATGCACCTTTTTTCCAGTGCAGCTGCTTAAGTAACTATAAGCACATCTATTAAGTGATAATAAAAATTATCAGTTTATGGTTTTAAAAACCATCTGTTAACTTTAATTGCTCTAGAGTAAGAATTGCTACTTTCAAGACTAAGATGTAACAACAAATAAGATACTGATCAGTTATGTGTGACTTTAATTGCTACTTAAATCTTAGAATATTCATTAAGATAAATATTAATACAAGTGTTACAAACCATTGATAAGAGGAAGCTTTAATTGCTCTGAGACCAGTGGAATTTGTTCCAATGCTTTGTTGTAACATCTTGCTTAATGGGTTATCAGAAAATTGAACGTTGCCATAATCATAGCTTCTTAAATTTGAATTGTTTGTGTTGTAGTTTGAAGACATTATGTTGGATAATCCACTTTGCATAGAATTTGACATCACATTAGACATTCCATAAGATGGATGTAAATTGGAACTTTGAAAAACTGAAATAAGAATACAGTATTAAAAACCCACTTATAAAATAAAATATTTCACATGTTTTTAAAAATCCATTATATAGAGAATACTAAAATCAAGAACTATAGCACTTACCCGAATGAGTGTTTCCATTCAAGCCTAACAAGTCTGCCACTGAATACTGAGAGCCTGGAAAAAGTAAAGTATTCACTAAATATGCCACAAAATTAAAAATAAAAAATTTAGCAAAATAAGGAGGGGAAAAAAAAAATATAGTTACTTTGGGTGGTTTTCCCATATTGTTCTGGTAGATTTGACAAGTCAAGCGTGTTCTCCAACATTGCATTTATCCGCTGGAAAATATCCCTATTTGAGTCACTGTTTTGATTGTGAACTTTTCCGTCCAGATCCAATGAATTTTGAAAAGATAACTAAACAAAAAAAAAACAAAGTATTTTAATCTAATGTAAGAATAAAAATTTAAAAATTTCTTACCAGAAGATACTTATTTCTGTAAACAAGAAACACCTGCTAATAAGTATATTAGTTTCAAGTTTCGCCTATACCATTTTGTGGTTTACTCATTGTATTACAGGGTAAAAAAAAATAAAATACTTCCTATACATTAAAGCATTTGTCTGGGAACACAATTTTGATCTCAATTACACCAAAAAAAAATGCATACATTTTAATAGTTATCAAAATTACATTGTTAGAATGAATCATCGAAAAAGATCTTACAGCAATTTGTTATTCTATTAGTATGATTTTCAGATTCATCATCCATAAACAAAGAATTACTTTAAAATATGAACACTGACTGGTTTAGAATTAAGAAAGTAGGTAAACAATATGCAAGTCAGTTTAATACAGAAAATTACTTAAAAAACTTGATTTTAAAGAACTGAAATTTTTTGTTTAACATGAACAGGTTTAAAATTTAAGTTATCAAATTTAAAAAAAATCTTTTAATTTGAAATTAGTCCCTATAGTACAAATTTCCATCACAAGTATTACAACTCAAGAATGAGATTTTAAGACTAAAATTTGTCAGTTTAATTTGGAACTACATTAAAATTTAAACTTAACTATCAGTTAATGCATAAGATTTGAGATATTAATTAGAGAATGTTTTATCGTCCATTGCAAAAATACTTTTGTTCTATAAATTTGCAACTTATTTGATAAATATCACAAGTCAAAAATTATTGCTCAATGCTTAAAGCACTAGTATACATTTGGCTTTAGCTGTTAGCCACAATTCATTACAGATAATGTTTCAGCCTTAATGGGGCTGAATTGGTCAGAGATGGGATTACAGTAGCATGTCATTTATCCGAATCAATTGGGGACTGGTGTTATGTGAAAAATAAGTTATCCGAACAACAGATTATGTACGAAAAAATATATTAACCTATCCCATGTTGAAATTTCTCTGTTGTGTGTGTCTGCATAGGTTTAACATCTATGAAAATTCAAACGTAAATTTTTTAATAATAATAATTGTGGTTATTGTATTGTTAAAAATTATTTATTTTGTACAAACAAAGTATATTGAAAAATATAAAAACAAAAAAGTATATTTTGGAAGTTAATCTAGTATCAAAAGCGTTCCAGTCTGACTGTCGTGCTGAATCTAACACTTTCAACCGAAACGTCTGTTAACCGATCGGCTTTCGGATAAACGACGCTCTACTGTAGTTAAAAAACATAAGAGAAGCTTCAGTACAGTATTTAGTTTTGTTTTATGGAAAATGTGGTTTATGTTTCTAAATACTTAGATTTTATTAGGCTTAGTGTAAAGCCTAATAAAATCTTTGTACTAAGTAAATAATAAAGTCATATGAAACTAAGGCTTTAGTCTTAGTTTCATATGACTTATTATTTACTTAGTGCAATCTTATAAGGTCACATTTTTATATAATGTGGAATAAACAAATCTAACAATTTAGGAAATAGCTGTCATTCTCTTTAGTTTACAACAAACTTCAATGCTTTTATCTGGATTTAACTGTTTTTTAACAAACATTTCCATAACTTACAGGTTAAGTGTACAAGCTCATTCAATTTTAATAAGAAATTGCACTAGACATCAATGTTACTTAACTTTGATTACATGATAAAGAATGAACTAAACTTGAATGTGTAGACATGCTAGATCAAGTCAGTACAAGATTACTATACACAAGAAAAGAGTAATGACTGTAGGGTCAAGGTCCACTGATAAGCAGAATAAATTTTTACAAAATTGAAAAGTAAACTAAACTTTAACTTATCCAAAAGAAAGTCAGAACTAGCCAATTTAGGTCATTTTTACATGTTTTCTATTGCTATTAGTACTATTACATAATAAAGCTGTCTTAGATTAAACTTCAGTTGTCTCTATAAAAATTTCAAATTCCAGACAATGTTAATTTCAATTCAAAAATTTTAAAAAAACTGGAAAAAAATGATTCATGAGTTGACAAGAATAATCCTAGACCAAATCTACTAAAACTTCTTATTTCAAATGAAAAATGTTTTTAAAGGTAATAGAAAGCAAAATAAAGAAAATCAAAACTTTAGATGGGCTTTATTTGAAAGGGGAACGAAATACTTAAAGATTTGAGAAAACTCAATTGGTTGGTTGGAGTTTGAAGCACAAGAGCCTAGACAGGCCAAAGATTGCCAGGTCTAGCCAGTTTTGTTGCCATGTTTTTAAAGGTCTTAATAATATGTATGTTCTAAAGTTCTATATAAAAGTTTGCCTTCTGATATGCCAGCCATTGTAGGTTGAATTTGTTATCTAGTATAGTTTAATTGTAGAGAAATTTAGCACTTGCTTAAATTAATTGTACACAAAAGCTTAATTCAATTATGATAATTGTTTACTTAAGTACTAAGATTTGTAAATAAAAATTAAGATTGCAAACCACTAAAGCAGTTAACTAACTGAAACTCTACTGAAACATGTGCCATTTATTTCTTTTAAATCAATATGACTAAGATTTCAAGAAATGCATTTTGTTAAAAAGATGAAAGAATAAACAGCAAGTTATTGTATATGGAGTCTTCAGGACATATCCTTTGATAAGTTGTCTAGGAAGTTTAGTCCTATTTGATTCTTTGGGATCAAAAACTATTGCAAAAAATTAACTTTAGACAAGCACTGTGGGATATGAACAATTACATGAAAAGTATTTTAATTTTTTATTCTTAAAAACGAATGTTGCCAAAAAAACCTAATTTTTCTTAGCAACACTAGAGCAGAAATTGTTACATGCACACAGAATGTTTAATTTAGTGATTTTAGCTTTCTTCAGGTTATTATACCCCACAATACAGTGTAAATTACAGCAAGTTTGTATTAACCCTTTTAAAACATTGGATTTGTGTTGGTAACTAAAATCAAATGACCTGCTTTGAAAGATCCGAGATAATATACAACAGATGAGAAAAAAAATGCCCATGAGAGATTTTATACATTAATAGTTTTTACAAGAATTGCATATCTAATGAGCACCATGTTATTATAGTTAAAATTTTAATCTTCTCAGCAAAATCTAAAGTAAGGATAAAGCAAAAAATTAGCATTTCTGTCTAGGAAAATAAAGTGCTTTTTGTAAAAGCAGAAAATTCTTAATCATTTACATAAAATAAAGCAAGTCTGTATAGAGTGAATGACTAACCCCATGAAAATGCGAGCATGCACACACACGTACATTTTTCTAGATTGAAAAGCAATATTGCTTACAAAGTTATACATCATTGGATTTCCCTAAATAACATAACATTTGTTCAGAGATTATGTTTCATTTTTAACAATGAAAAGAACACCTATAAACACCACAGAGGGAAAAAACACTTGGGAAGTAAAAACCAGATCATGATGAATGACATACAACCATCTCTGAATGTGGGAAATGTAAGACAGTACTCATCTACTTATTTTGTATCCCTTGAATTTAGATTAAGATTTAACTGAGTGTTGAGTGTTACAAATTCTAACAGCAACTAAATTTTTAAAAGTATCAAACTAAGCAGCATATCAATTTATTAAAGTGAGGTTTTTAAAAAACTTTGAGTTAAGATGTTAGTTTGCAATCCTACATATCCTTCAGAATACAAATTCTGAAAAGAGGGCATAAAATATAATTTGAAAAAAGAAATTGTAACCTTGTAGGACCAAGTTTGACCTAAAACCTATAATTCTTCATCCCTAACAGTCTACATATTGAGTCTAGCCTATAGGCTAAGACCATTATGTGATTTGCTGATTTTTACATTTTAACAGAAGTTGTTTTGGAATACAAAAGTTCTGAAGTTAGTCTTAAAATGGACCTAGTAAAATGAATAAGATGCAGTAGAGAGTATGAACATTAAAAACAGTTGTATTGATTACAACAATGATTAACAGTTGTTTTGTTTCAAAGAAAAAAAATCTTCCAAAACAACTTATAATCTGTTTCTAAATGCTTAAATAGCATCAATGCAATAAACTAAGTGAAAAATAGCTAGTCCTATTTTGCAAGCATTAATTTTTCTAGAAGTAATGCAAAATGAGAGGAATTTATACTGAAATTTGAACAAAAACTTTGCAATTGCCAAAGACTACTCCATTGATAAAATGTGCAGGTGGTAAAAAATTTTACATCTGCTTTTTTTGTAAACACTTTTTTATTGGATCTCTAGAAAAACAATTTTATCTGTTTCAAAGAAGAGCTCTAACAGTTAAAAATTTATGTACCAAAGTGAAAGAAAAACTATATTCTTAAGTAACAGATTCAGCCTAATAATCTTATTTAAACGAGTTTGTACAAATTTAAAATTTTGTTAAATTAGATTCTATGTAAAGAATTATTTACAAAAATGGACAACATTTAAATCCATTTAAAACAAGTTAAATCAGAGAATTACATTAATTTAAACATTCATTTTTCTGGAAAATTAATCAGAAGACAAACTTTAATTGTTTATATTAAAAAGTTTTTATCATAAAGTAAGAATTGCTAAGGCTTACAATTGAAAAATTTAAAAAAAAAAAAAAAAAGGTAAACCAAAACAAAGTATGCTGTCAATAATGCTATACAAAAACAGTTCAATGAATTCTTAACAAAATTCATAACACAGGGCTAACATACAAAACTGCAAATTGTTCTTAAGGAAAATAGGATTAAACATCAGGTAACTAGTCACATTCAGAGGAAGAAGTGCAAAGACAAATGATTAAAAAATATAAAAATTCTTCTAGTTACACAAATGAACCTTAGTTATTGTTAGATTATGCAAATAAAAAAAAGGAAATAATTACAAGTAGCAAATAATTCATAAATCACTTTCTAAGAATGTTAAAAGGCAATTTAAAAAATTTATACTTTCTTGTATATTTGATATTAAGAACTCAAATTAAAAAAAAAAAAAGACTAACTTGTACCTTTAAGAAACCATTTCA